GACATCAAATCTTGTGGTCCAGGTCAAAGCCTGCCCTGGACTTCGAGTTCGAGTACGTGTTTGCTTCGAACTAGTCAAGAACGACATCGTTACCCCATACGGAAAACGCACCCATGAACCATTCGCCAGATTCGCCTTGTCCTACGTTCCAACGCGCATGGTGACGCCCCCGCTGTCAAAGAAAATGTCGCGTGCGAGTTCCATACGCCAATCTCCCCAATTTCTGGCGGCGCCCCTGGTTCCACGCATTGACTTCTATTATCTCCCACGCACGTCTGGTGCTCGATCTTTTCTCCACGAGCGGGTGGAGATGTTCTTCTTGGTCTCGGCATAGAAGTGCGCGCGCCTAACATCTAGAAGCCCAAACCCGAGCCCCTCCTCGCGCCCCCCTCGGCTATCCCTCGCCCCTCCAGAACTGCCATGGAGAAAAGCAGTTCGCTCGCTTTCACTGGAAGGGTGGCCGCAAACCTGGCTTTGGAGCTGTATTTGACTCGCTGATCCACTAGGCGGGACCGGTATTCTGGGTCAACCACGTCGGCCTTGCCCATGTCCATCCACCTCGTGCCTACAGGCACATTGAAGGTGACATCGCAGTATTCCTCCTCATGCACTTGCTTGAACTGCTCCACCTCCACCACCCGCGCCTTCGACGTGATTCTGGATCGAGCTTGCACCCCGGCGCGTCGTCCCAAGCCCGTACTCTATCATCCCCATGATGAACTACGCAGATTGCCCCCCTGGCAACTGGGCGCACTTCTGCAGCGCTTTCACATGCCTCCTCCTCCTCCTCCTCCTCCTCCTCCTCCTCCTCCTCCTCCTCCTCCTCCCCCTCCCCCTCCCCCTCCCCTCCCCCTCCCCCTCCCCCTGCCTCCTCCTCCTCCTCTCCCTCCTCCTCCTTCTCCTCCTCCTCCTCCTCCTCCTTCTTCCTCCCGCAGCCATGTTGGCCCTCGCGCTTGGAGCTTTAAAAACGCAGCCGGATAAGGGGGGCGGCTCAAGGCCCCCGTGCGTTCTCCTCGTCCTTCCTCCTCCCCCCTGTGCCGCGTTCCTCCCTCCCAGTTCCTCGTGTCCCCCTCTCGGGACGAGTCCTCCGCCTTCCCCGTCCCCCCCATCCTTTTGACTACCCACCAGACCACCCCCATACGCCTCATCCTCTCCTCCTCCTCCTCCTCCTCCTCCTCCTCCTCCTCCCCCATCCTTTTGACAACCCGAAGACCAGAGTTTCGCTCGAAATTCGGGTTGGGTGGGTGCGGGGTCCATGTGTTTTTTTTTCAAAGTTCCCCGCACCCACACTGGAAATGGAGGGCACATTGAGGCCTTGGGTTGGGTTGGTGTGGTTTGGTTGGTGGTGACCTCTCCTGACGGACAACCCTTCCCTGTCGCACCCCAAGGCATGTCGGTAGGCAGACCGGGCGTTTCGCCTGAGGCGTCCTCACCACGTCAGATCCTCAAACTTGACCGAGCATTCGCCCTCACAGCTTTCACAAACTCGAGACATGGATGGGTTGTGGCCTTCCACAGGGGGGCTCTTGGCTCAGCGACGTGCGCATCCGTCACAGAAGTCTGCCGCGGCATCACGTCTGGAGCGGCTGTCGTCTTCAAAACGCGGCTCAAGCCTTAGAGTCTGGCAGTTTCGTCTCAAGCGTCCGCACCCGCCTCACCAGGGGGTAGTCTTCAAAAGGCGGCTCGCGCCGTGGCGTCGCCCACACTCGTCACAGACGCACCGCACATCTGCGGTGCGGTCACGCCTCAAAACACGGCAATCTCGCTGGGCACCTCGCTGCACCGAATGATCATCACATCCCTGATTCCCTACTATTCTCAGGTCGGGCGTGTCCCCCAACAGGTGGATTTTGGACGACAAATAAAGCTAGTCAAACATACTCAACACATATTTAGACATAGTTAGATCATCTTCCCTAGGCTCTTCTTGGACTACTGTTGACGTTGCCTCCTGTAGAGGGACACGCCCGACTCGATACGATACCCGAGCATGATGCAGCGCCGGTCCCCATCACAACGGGGCCCTCGCTCGCACTGGCAGGCCCCTGGGGTGCTGGTCTTTCAACACTGGGCACCTGTTGCCGCGGAGAGGAGAGCGCACAGCTAGGTCGGGCGTGTCCCCATACAGGGGGATTTTGGACGAACAACCGAAAAATACTCAAACAGTAGCCCCAAATAGTCGAAGATAGTAGAACAATCGGCCCCAGACTATTGTTTGACTATTTGGGAAGATTCCCCCTGTAGAGGGACATGCCCGACTTAAGCGTACAGGAATGTAAGGGGGCATGGGAAGGGAGGATGTATTGCAGCATCGCTGATCGATCTTGGGCTTACGGTAAATTCGCGCGGCGTCGATGCGCGCCGCGGTTCTTGATACCACATCGATCGTTCAACACTGAACCACTCACGACCCCGATCGTTCAAGGTTGGACTCCGTCGGGTCCTATGGCGTTACCGTGCCCCTCAGTGCTTCCGCGTCGTTCTATCATGGGGAGTTCAAGCTTGAACGCCTTCGTCGGCGTCGCTGGCGCGCCATCGCCGCATGAACCTACCGTATTCTGGTCCTCCTCATCCTCCTTCGTCCCTCCTGCCGCGCCCCCCCTTCTGTTGCTGCTGCTCCTGATCCTGGAGCTTTTCCTCATCCTCCCGTTCCTGGGTGCCCGTTTGCAAAGGGTGCCTCAACAAACTTCGGTGGCGTCTCCAGGAAGACGAGCACTGCGTCGCTCGTAGTATGAACACGTCCCGGGCCTACACACTTCCACCACCCTCCTTTTTGATCCGTCGCCGACTGGACTTCTGGATCGAAGACGTCGTGACGTGAGCGAGCACGCCAGCGAGGAAGTCGGGGGGTGCTGTGAGTCCGCGGAGCGCGCCGCGAGGGAGTCGGCCCGCGCTGCTGAGGGGCAGGGCGCTGTGAAGAGTGCTGGCAGGAACCCCTCAAAAAGAATCGCAGGGAGAAGCACATCCCCCGCGGCTGGACCCGCCCCCTCCGCTTTCTTGAAGGGGCCCTGGGACACACAAATAAATACACACAAATAACAGGATCCCCCATATTCTTTTATATTTTCTGGGTTTCTGTCTTCCCCCCCACTTCCCATGTGTTCCCATCTGTTCTGGGGAATCGACGATTAATTGTGTCTGTGTGTTTCTTTCCCTCCTGATCCAACGCACTGCCCCTTCTGGGAAGAGCCGCCCTGGGAGTGGAGACAGTAGATCCCTCCGTCCCCCCCCCCTGCTGAGCTCAGGACACAGACGTACGACGTCGTGATCGCTTCACATCTCGGGGGCGCGCAAGCATGGATTAGCGATCCATGGATCTGGCGCGCGGTCGCCAGATCCACGGATCGGGGGAAGTGCCCTCACCAAAGTGCGGCTGGTGCCGCCTCGTCCGGCGGCGGGAATCCGCGGTTTCCCATGGAAACGGGACCCGTCGCTTATCCACGCCCCCTTAATCCATGCTAGAGGTCGCCTGACAGGAGCGGAGACAGCAGATCCCTCCGCCCCACCCTGCTGAGCTCAGGACCCAGGCATACGACGTCGCGATCGCTTCACGTCGCGGATCGGGAGCGGCCAAGAGGGGGGTGTCCAAGGAGGGGGGGGGTGCAAATCATGACCGGCGGCATGTGCGCGGCCCAGCGGGGGGGGGCCAGGGACGTAATGAAATAAGAAGAGGCGCCATGAAATCTGGGGAAATATCATGGCCCAAGCCACGATATCCCCCCCCCTGGTCATCGCCCCCCTCTTTGCCGCCCCCGAGCGGATCCCCGGATCCCGAAGACCTTCACACCTTCCCGGATGGCCGTTTCTCACCCTGAGTCGCCGTTTGAACGCTCCGGGGCCCGGGGGGGGCCTGGAGAGGCCCAGGGCGGTCTAGCAGTGCCTGTCATGATTCGTTCTCACCACGCGAGGACATCAGTCGAGGAGCAAAGAAGTGCATACATATCATAAAAAGCTTCGGTTTCGGTCGGGCGTGTCCCCCTGCAGGCGGACCTAGGATGACAACTTATATAAATAGTCAGAAGATGGTCCAGGGTAGCCATACATACCGTAAAAAAACACGTCCCCATGACTTTGACTGTTTAAGAATATTCTCCCTGTAAAGGGACATGTCCGACAGGAAAATATCGAAACAGCATCGAGCGAGTATCGCCTCCCAGGGCCCGACACGGGCACACCATCCAGTTTCGGTACTTCTCTTGGTGCTCGAAGCTCCTTCGGGTGATCAAGGCTACAGTAGGTTGGAACCTCAGAAGCACAAATATAACCCTTGGTGGCTCCGCGTGGATCTCTTGGATCCGCGCCGGACCCGCCTCACCGTCGCACGGAAAGCGCGCCAGGGGCGGCGCCGCAGGTGCCAGCAGGGGGGCCCAGGCGCCGATGCGAGAAATCTGCGCGGGGCTCCGAGGGATGACTCTCATGGCGCCTTGAGGAGGAGGAGGAGGAGGAGGAGGAGGAGGAGGTACAGTGGAGGCCCGTCCACAAGAAACCTTCAACCAGAAACCCAACCCTGAGACCCCAGGACGTCCATCGATTTCTGGTGCGGGAACGTCACGCTGTCCATCGCAACACCATCGAAACCCAAGAAGCCCAGGGCACCCTGGAGGCAAGCAGGGCGTTTCTTGGCATGGGCCCCCATTGTAATGGCACGTGCCGAAAAGCGTCCAAACACGTAAGTCGCGACGTTGTTCACGACGCGAGATGATCAAGGAAGAAGCAAGGAGGATGACAGGGAGGCGAGGGGCAACGTCTAGGGGGGGGGGGACCGGCCCAGGGGGGGAAACGTCGAGCTGAAATTGGCCCTGAAGCTCACACAGAAGGCGAGTGAGCAAGACTTAGGTCGGGCGTGTCCCCCTACAGGTGGATTTCGGACAATTCGTAAATAGTCCGAACATATTCCAAAAATGCGCATAAATAAACAAAAAGTCGTCCCCAGACTATTTGTTTGACTATTTCTGAGTCTTCCTCCCGTAGAAGGACACGCCCGACTTAAACAACAACACGAGGAGGGGGGTCCTTCGCCCAGTGGCCCGACCCGAAGTCGATCAGCTTTATGCCGTTGGGGCCCACGAAGATGTTGTCGGGCTTCAGGTCGCGGTGCAGGACGTTCTGCGAGTGGAGGTGCTGCCGCGCCAGGGCTGCCGCATCTCTCGCCGCCCTCCCCCCCACACGTGCTCGCGTCGGGGAAACAAGACAGGGGGCTATTCGTGTTATGCTGCTCCCATCGTGCTGAAGGGCCACATCCCAGAAACAATTTCGAGCACCCAGGGAAGTATCGAGACAGTGTCGAACAAGTATCGCTTCCCAGGGCCCGACACGTGCAAACCCTAGAGTTTCGGTACTGTTTTGGTGCTCGAGATTCGTTCTGGTGATCAAGGCTAAAGTAGGTTGGAACATCATAAGAGTCGGTGAGAAAAGAAAGGGGGGCTGTTCGTGGTGATCGACCTCCAGTGGCTCTCGCAGGGCCCAGGGACCCTCAAACAAATACTCCGGATGATGATAGGCCGGCCCTGAGGATGAGGTCGGTACTTCGGGGGACCCCGTGTTGAAAACATCAAGACGTCGGATGTCTGGGTCCGCCTCTGACGCCATCTCTCGCCGCCCTCCTCCTCCCCCTCCTCCTCCTCCTCCTCCTCCTTCTCCACCTCCTCCTTCTCCTCCTCCTCCTCCTCTTCCTCCTCCTCCTCCTCCTCCCCCTCCTCCCCCTCCTCATCCGCCTTCGCCTCCTCCTCGTACGCCTGCTCTCCTCCCCATCCTCCTCCCCATCCTCCTCCTCCACCTCCTCCTGCAATAGCAACGGAGACGCTGGCTCCGACTCATACGCCGATGCCGACACGCCGAACCGAAATTGTGCTTGTGGGTATGTGCGACCGCGCCGAGGATCTGGAACCGTATGCAGCTCGTGCGTTTCGTAATCCTGTTGATCGCAAGCATATGTGCCAACGTTTAGGTCGGGCATGTCCCTCTACAGGCGGATTTCGGACGAACTTTTCAAATACCCCAGAAATACCCCCAACTAAATTCAAGAAATAACCCCAAAATCGTCCCCAGACTATTTTCTACTATTTTTGAACATTCCGCATGTAGAAGGACAGGCCCGATTTAAGCCAACGTCTGGAGCACCCGTGCACCGTTATCGACGATTCCACAGGGGGGACCGAATATACAACAAGGTCACCGGCACCCTCCCAGGAGATTCCATCGCTGGCCCATGGTTCCTGACACCGTACCACGCGTGTCCGGACGAGACGACTTCCGCCCGCCCCGACATGCACGTGTGGTTCAAGTGTCCATGAGGTGGACGCGTGCGAGAGGATGTGGGGAAGGAGGGATGCACCGTGGACACTTCTTTACAGTCTTACACAGACGACTCCAGAAAACCATACCAGCTTTCAGATGCCGTGGACCTCCGTAGGAAATCGCATGGATATGCCAGGACGGAATCTGCAGCACACTCCTGGGAAGTCTGAATCGTTGGTAAGATGTGTGGTGCTAGGGCAGACGAGTACACTAAATCGGTCTACCAGGGACCATCTATGTTGCCAGGGACTGCCGTGCATGTTGCACGGTACTTGGGACCACATTTGTCTGCCCGATCTTCGGTGGCTTCCGAACGGGGCAAACGACTCGAGGCGACTCAACGGCACGTTTGCGACTCCGACGGTGGAGCAGGGTAATTTTACAATGCATGGTGTCTAGGGCCAGGCTCAATGGCCTGGATGCGCTTTTTCTCTCCAATACGAACGCACAAGCGCTGGACAGAGAACTCGTCCCCCTTGCCGAGGAGGAGGATCGAGGAGGATCGAGGATCGAGGGGCAGCAAGAGGATCGACCCCCCCCCAGCGCGCCGCCGCGCCGCCCGAGGGGCGCCGCGCGGGCCCAGGGGCGTGTCCTGCAAGGGGAAGGAGAGGATACGGTGGAGGCCAGTCCACGAGAGTTGGCGGTGCGCACAAGGGGGTGGAGGGAGGGGGGAGGGAGGGGATGGTATGGAGGGAGGGAGGGAAGGAGGGAGGATAAGGAAGGAGAGGAGGGAGGAGTAGTAGAGGAGGGCGGGGGGCGGTTGTAGTCAGTGGAGTATAACACTTGGGAGGCCGTCCACAAGATTTTGGCGTGCGCCCAAGTAACTGGGACACATTCGAACCCTTACCCCTGCCCCCAACATTTGGAGGGGGGTGGTGGGGTTCACTTTCGCTCGGGAGCTCTCGAGCGAAGTGAACCCCCACCCTCCCCCTCAGAAACCGTGGGGGTAGGGGCAGGGTTCGCATGTGGCCCCCTAACAAGGGGGTGGAGGGAGGGGGAGGGCTTCTTAGAAGGAGGCTGCTTCTTAGACGGCGCCGGCCCTGCATCTATGGATCAGGTCCGCGGCTTCTAAGGAGCAGGGGTGCTTCTAAGAAGCCCTCCCCCCTCCTCCCACCCCCCTCTGCGCGTGGCTGAAAGAAACCTTCCACAAGAGACCCAACCCTGAGAGCACAGGCGTCCATTAATTTGTGGTGTGGGAGCGTCACGCTTTCCGCCGCAAGATCCTCGAACCCCAAGAAACCCAGGGCACCCTGGAGGCAAGCAGGGTGCTTCTTGGTATGGGCCCCCACTGTGCTTCGCCTCCCAAGGGAAGAGCCGACGCTCCAAACATTCTGGAACGGCGGGACTTTGGGCAGTTGTGGGCCAGCGGGGGACATCGCTGGGCCTCGGGAGCGTCGACAAAACGGCTCGGGACGGAACAGCCTGTGCTGGGGAAGTGGTCCGGACGTCTGGGGCCCACGCATCGAACAAATTGGAGCGGCCGGATGTCTGGGTCTCCTGGGTCGTCTCAAAAAGACATGTCGACTCGTATCCCCGACTTCGTGGGGTCTTCGAGTGGACCAGGAATTTCGGGCCCAACTCTGGGATGTACGATTGGAGGGGGCACCCATCCTCGACAATGGTGCGTCCGAAAAGACGAAAAGACCGCTAGGGGTGCAACTATCCCCGAGGTCCCCTCCTCCTCTGAGCAGCTTGATTGTTCTTCGAAAGGTCTGGGGTTTGGGGCGAGAGTCCGCGGCGAGCCTGGGGAGGAGTGAGAAGGGGCGCGCCATTTCAGAAGGCTCGGATCGGAAGTCCCCCTGCCCTCTGAGAAGAATTCGAAGCCTTCTCCAGAGGCGCAGACAACATCTCAGAAGGCTGGGGAGGA